TGTTAATCTCCAACCATTGGCAGCAATCACTTCAACCAATAAGAGCTGGTGAACACTATTACAAAGGCGCAGAAGAAAAATCGTTTCGTACTCTCAGTGTGTGACTCTAGACTTTGGAGATATAGAAAAATATATTGCGCTTTGTCATCACCAGTATATACGCACAAGAGACGGTACATGTTTTCAGAATAAAAGTCTATCCATATCAATCGCACAAAACACAACATTTACGACATTTCTTAGACTTGCCAGTAACGTCATTGACCTTATTGTTTAAAGTTACTTTGTCACACTGCCCTTTTCTGCACCCAAAAGACTCCAGTACCGTGGACAGATTCAGCCCCCACGGGCTCTTTAAACGGCCAGGTTTGAGTCTCTCACTCATTTTTTGAAGCAAAGATACTTTTCATGGCCTTCTTAAAAATGTTGCCTAAACTCCCAAAAGTCATGGCTCTTGTTAGCGTTTGCATTTACACGGAATAATGTCGCATTCAGCTATCAGCGCAGACACTGTGCAGGGTACACGTTTAACATCGGCGACACCTCGTGGAGAAAATTCATTGGTACAAACAACAGGAGTGGAAATCACTGCATTACCTTTACTAAGTACTACAGTCCTGACATTTTATACAGTTGTAGAATTATTTACAGGCTATTACTACCCAAAGGACCCATTAAAAGAATTTCAATTAAGTGCTTTAGTTTCGGTTTCTTTCAAATATTTGTCTTGCGCAGTACTATTGCTATTTAAGTCTGTTGTTATGACGCTACAAAAGAAACTGCAAAATATTTTTTTTATAGTTGTTATTCTTACTTTCTGTCAGTGTGTGATTCTAATATATGCATTTTAACAAGACTTCTTTCTGTTTGTCAGTAGAGGGCGATAACGACCTACAAATGATTAAAATCACAGGGTAGCGCATGCTCAAGGACAGACTACAAGACTGGCACCTCTTCGTTGGTACTAGAAAACTAATATTAATTGAAGTACAGCAATCTGGGTAAAAAAAAAGAATAACATTTAAATTTATTAAATTAAAATTTGCTAATACAACAACAACAATAGTAGTAATAATAAGAATAATAATTAGGCTCAAATAGTTCTTGGTCATTCCTTTAAAAATAATTCTGCTCTATCCCTTGGAAACACGGAATAAGGAGATGGGAGAGGTGGCTCAGGAGTTTTGCACAGGAAAGTGTATGAATATATATGTATGCACATGAGTTTGATTAAATATTAAATATTGAAGATAAAAAGATAAAAAAAAAAGATATAAAGATTAAGCAGCATGTGCTTTATGTAAGTGACGGTGCCTAAGTGATTTATATACATATATGTATATGTGTAGGTACACACACACACACACACACACACACACACACACACACACACACACACACACACACACACACACACACAGAGAGAGAGAGAGAGAGAGAGATAAACATACATATTACATAAACACTTAAAAAAATGTATAATATTATTGCCTTATACATCATTCATGCATAACTTGGCAGAGTCAAGAGTTTCAGCCGAATCCTCAGAGCTGAATTATGGATGATGACTCGGCCTCTGACGTGAAGACAGTACAACAGAGAGGCTTAATGGATGAGACTAGGGGCAAGGTTTTCTAGATGCCTAGTGACACAGGCATGATCTAATTCTTTAAAAATCATTGCATGAAAAATCCACTTCAGATATGTCACATCTTTGACACAGTTCGTGGTCTAATGGCATCAAAATTTATGATAACACTTGTGACCGAGAAACTATTATGAACAGATAGTATTATGTAACACTAAGCCAAGCATCAGAGCTTGGGTTTTACCATCTAACGTGCTTCCTTCCACTGATATGATCTGACCTCTGGACTGTAGTGTGTAATATTTAATGGAGGGTTTAGTTGCCCTTTGGCTTTCTTCTTTGATAGGCAGCTTTCACCTTTGTCTCTTACATGAGTAAACACATGCTCAGTATTAATGCTGTAAACATGCAGGACTTCACCAGCTAGGTCCATATAGTGTCTCTGGAGGTTTTACAAATAGTGTTTTCACTCAGCCGCCCCTTGTGGCTAAACTTCAAAGATGATTTTTGCATCACTCACTTTTCCTGTTTTTAGATATTTTAGGGCCGTTTAGCAAAGCGAGTGTTCTTCGACCAAAATTCTTCAAAATGTTTTCACCAATTTAATTCAGCTGCACAAATAAATGCTTTTGGAATGATACACTTCCATTATATCGGCTTGCTGTTTCGGAATTAAACACTATTGTGCCAATTTAAACTAGGATAGAAGAGTAGGGGAGGGCATGTAACAAACTGAGGTTCTTTTGAAGCATGCAAAAGAACAATCTTCACAAGTGATTACAACACTGGAAGTTATGACGCTTTTTCATTAAACAAGCCTACAATTGATTGGTGTTGACGTGGTAGGTCAATAAGTGTTTTTTAGAACTGAAGATAATGTTAAAGCAGTGATATCCTCTGTATTTTAGTGACCTAATTTATTTTTCCAGCCAAATATAAATGGCACACAGTAGATTTTTAAGGCTCTTCTTTAAACATCTTGGACTTTTATTTTCTAGGGATGTATTTATTTATTTATTTATTTTTTAAAATTGAAGTTATTATTATCCTCATCCTTATATTAGAGAAAGCTGCCAAATAAGGACAGGCATCATTCTGTTTTCTAACATTGTCTGTGAAGAGTAATAAATTTAGCACACCTCTATTTTCTGTTAACCTTCAGCTTGCCTGGTGGGTGGATCCCAAATCTTAACGTTTCTATTGGATGAAAAGGGATGTAATCGCTTATTTGTTTTGGGGGAAGGCTCAGTCAGGCTTTATCTGTCTGTGACAGGTTCTACTTTCTTCCTGTGAACTTTCTGCTATTACCACAGTGTCTATCTACAGCTCTGACCAAATTAGATCACTAGACCACACACACACACAATCAGCCAACTGTTTCTAAGAACTTGATGCTGATCTTTTAGTTCTTTAATCTTTCTCAAGAAAAGTCCTGATCGCAGCAGGAGACGTTGGAGGAAGGACATGATTGTGCCAAATATTTAACTCCTCCTAATGAGCAGAGCTTGCTCATATACTGGAAGGAAATCCGATGCTAATGAGCAGGCTGCATAACAGCATTCCCGAGGCAGCTTCTGATTAGGCGATGCATTTTTTTTCCCCCTGCTCAAGCTTTTCAACTTACTTTTATCCCCACTTGTCACATTTTTACATTCAAGAAAAGATACAGAAAAAAATACAAACTCACAAAGACATTGCTAACTTAGCACAATGTTCAGCCTTTTATTTTGGTTAGGCATGCTACTGAAAGTGCAGCTGAAGCAAATGGGAATATCATTTAATTTGCAGGTATTGTCACTGTTCATACTGTACATTAGTTCTGAGTTGACTCGAGTCTTCTGTCTGTCTGCACTATTAAAAACAAAAGCGTTCAAATAGCAACTTTAAGAGATGCTTTACTGGGGTAAAAATGATCAGGGCTATGACTTCATGCAATTCAACATTTAAATGCAGGGGTTCATCATTCTAATTTAAGCAGCCAACAGTCTAATTTCAGGACTGCTTCACTGTTGCTCATTAGGCTGAGTCCTTCTCCCTTAAAGAAGGCTGCCATTGATGGTGAGAGAATTTAATCCCCTTACGACCAGCCTGCGGGCAACAACGTCACACCTCGGAGGTTAGTGTGACAAGGATCGTCTCACAGTGGATTATTTCTGCTGTGGATACATTTAGCATCAGAGCTGGAGTTGTTTCTTCTACAGCAGAAATGGCAAACTCTTTTTACATCGTGGGCCACATATAGCCCACTTTGATCTGAAGCACCTTGAGGCGACTTTTGTTGTGATTTGGCGTTATATAAATAAAATTGAATTGAAGTGGGCCGAAGCAGGGAAACCCCTCTATTTGTCAGTGTAAAGAAGTTTATATAGACATTTAATCCAATTTAATCCAAGAAAAAGAAGTGCAATTTCAGCAGTACAACTCAAGTTTTTCTACACAATAAAGAAATGCTGACATCTGTGAGCATGTCTAAAATGACAGAAAAAGCTAAATCTAAATTTACTCTAAAGCTTAACATAAATTTCTTTAGTAGATTGCGATAAAACCGTTTTTTGTGTTTTGTTATTGTTTATCTATTACTTAATTACTTTGATGTAGTATGAATGACAGTAAAGGAGGTTCCTTATTAGTAGGAAAAACTGTAAAACAGTTAAAAATCCAAAATCTATGCCCTCCTTCACATTTTCCAAAGTCATCAAGTGGGCCGGAATAGAGTCCTCCATGAGCCAAATCTGGCCCCCAGGCCTTATGTTTGACAGCCCTGCTCTACAGTATGTGCCCCTTCTGTGGTGATCTTTGGAATATACGTGGCTTAGTAACTCAACCCACAAAGACATTTCATTGCTGGTATTATGAAATTGCTAAGCCAATATAGCTTAAGGGTAACTGTGTTCCTGCTCTGAAGCATCTATTCATGTGCATGCAGACAGAAAATGCAAACGTTTGCTTATTTACTAAAAAAACTACAGCATTTGTTTTAGAACTATTCGGCGCACTGAAAAGTAAAAACAAAATTGTTAAATATGTTTAAATATAACTGAATATGTCATCAAATTTAGCTCAGTGTAAGTTAATATGAAATGAAGACAAAACGCTACCAAACTCTGTGTAGTTTAGTGTATGCATTTCCTAATTTAGACAAGTACCTGAAATGAGATTAAGTCCACGTCGCCTAAGAAGGAGCTTAATTGCGCAACGGGCTTAACACAGTAAATATTTCCTCACTGTACAGAGGGGCTGTATTATTTAGCTGTCTACAAAACAAAACCACTATTAAATAATCTGCTTATTAAAATACTTTAGATTTGACACTGACATGTGATAAAAGGCACATTTCTGCTTACAGCAATTAGGCTTCTTGCTTACAAGCATCTCCATTAATCGGATTAAAATAGAAAGCGCAAACAGCAGAAGAGGAGCAACATCTGTGTTTATTGTCACTGGATTCATGTGGATGCTTGAGCAGTGCAGGTTAAAGTCAAGCTGCTGAAAGAAAGAATGCATGAACATTTAAAATGGTCAGATTACCTGCAGCATGTTTTTTTGTTGATTGAGCTAAGTCCAACATGAGGTATGGTGGCTCCAAGCAAACAGACTGTCCTGTAATGTCATGTACTGTACAAATATGAAATATGAAAATAACACAACTGTACATCTCTGACCTGGCAATGTTTATTTCAAAACATCCTACTACGTTTGAATGAGGAACCTATCATGAAAGCAGTTGATGATCTTGGATTTTTGCCCGATTTTACTGGGTTTTCTTTTACTTTGACTTCTTAATATCTGGTTCAACAATCTTCTGTCCAGTGAGGAAATTCCAAACTCCCCCTCGGTAGAACTCATTTCCAAATGAGTAGAGGAGAGCGTTAAATATAGGATTTGTCTTTGCAATAACTGGAAGCATCTACAAGGGAAAAGGCACACAAAAAAGCAAAGGTTTAAGTTGTCTCACATACTATGGCAAGTGTGACATTAAAATGATTGACTCCTTTCATTGTCTTGCTTGTGGAATAAGTCACAAGAATGATGACTGAAACTGCAACTAAGAAACTGTTAAACTAAAAGTCAACAATAAGAAGAAGAAAGAGGTGTTTAACTGTTTCACTTTCACATAGTGTTAGGTTGCAAAAAACAAAATAAATACATACCATTCTTAGCTTTGGAGAGATGAGCTTCACATTGTCAAAGCAGGCATAGACACACATGATGACATATGGGCCCCAGCACATCAGCAGTACCCTCACAGGCAAACTGGTGTTAAACTGTAAAATAAAATCCATTGTGTTACATACAACAAGGCTTCAAAAACAGAAAGAGTGTGTCACAATTAGTCTAATAATGATAGTGATAATGATCTTATCAAGCTTGTGTGTAGTTGCTGAAACAAGAGATGAAGTAGAGATGCACTTCAGTGGTTTCGTGACCAAAAGTATGTGGTCAACACAAGGTTAGAATGTGGCATAACTGCTGGATGAATAATTAATAGACAACAGATCACACTTGAATAGGATGGAAACTAACTCAGAGCCATACATGGGTTGCTTTTCAGATTGCCATCTTTTTGAGATCCCCTGCATGAATCGCCACCTTATCACGGTGGAGGGGTTTATGTTTCCCATTGATCTAGGAGCTATGTGGTTGGGGCAATTTGCTCTGGTAAGGTCTGCCATGGCAGATTGTCTGACTCCTTACCTATGACAAAACAGTGGTACACATAACCTATGCAGCGTAACAATCCAGGGGTCCAGTGCTCTCTGCCTGGGATAGAGTTACTGGGGTCTTACCCTGGAGCCAGGCCTGGGGTACAGTCTCGAGGACAATTGTCTGATGGCCAGGCCTTAAGACAATGGGGCCCAGCTGGTGTCAGCTTGAAAAAGCAACATAGGTCCATCCTCCTGTTGACCACCCACAGGAGGGGCCCACAGGAGGTGTTCAGTGCTTAGTGGATTGACTGGCAGTCAGAGCAGAGGTCCTGGTACTCTGATCCCTGGCTTCCAAAACTGGTTTGTGGTAGATTCAATATCACCTCACTTATGAGGGACGAGTCCAAGCTGATATAGATATAGTCTGACTCACTCAACGTACAACTTGGGGTATGGAACCAGTTTCCTTCTCACTGAGCGGTTTGACTCTGTTCCATTCTGGAGTTTCAGTGAGAAGCTATGGTCAGGCTTAATGTTGTTTTTTATACTTGTATCCCTGTTTTTTGCTGCCTGTGTTTTGGGGTTTAGATTAGATCCAGACCGTTGTTTGTGCCTATATGCCAAATGACAGTTCAGAGGGCCCAGCCTTCTTAGAGTCCCTTGGTGAAACCCTCTCCAGCACTCCACCAGAATGCTGACCAAGTGTAAGTCGGACTTAATTCTGATTAGTGTTGGACAATGCCAGGGCTGCCATCTGAGCTTTCTCTCAGGGTTGGTGAGGAGCTTGATCATTCAACAGGGATTTGGAATAGAGCCGCAGCACCTCCACATCAAAGGGAGCCGGTTGAGGTGGTTTGGGCAGACTAGGATGCCTCCCGGACACCTCCTAGGTGAGGTTTTCTGGGCTTAATACCCCTAGATGGGCAGGAGGAAGTGGCTAGGGTGAGGGAAATCTGGGCTTATTTGCTTAGACTGCTGTCTAAGATAAGTGCCGTGCCTTTATCAAGCCATAATTTTCATTTTCTATACAAATGAATCATTATCTCACATTTTTGGAGGATTTTCTTCTTTACAACTTTGCTTCAGTTCATTGTCTGTGGACTTTAAGCAAAATAATACAATTTTGGAAATTAACAGAAAAAATAAATAAATACAGAATATTTTTTCAGAGAATGTTTTTCTTGACTTTTCCTCTGTAAATTGCCCTGTTTTTATTTTATTTTATTCATAACCTTATTCTTGGAAATTACTTTTTTGCCTGAGTTTATTATCCTTTTGTACCTGAGTGCTTTAATAATAATAATGACTATTTTTACCTACAATGGCCCTAATATTGCAACCGGTCTCACTTCTATGCTCAGCATGAAAAAACTACAATAAAGAGTGGCATGCAAATAGAAGAATGGAGAAATAATAAGCCTGTTAAAGATTAAATAAAATAAAGAAGAAAAAGAAAAGCACTCACCAGCAGGTTTAAAGGTTGTGTTTCATTATGCGTAAAATTAATCTTCTTAAACTCGTGGTTTGATTAGAGCCCCTTTGATTAGAGCAGAATAACATTTAAGCTGCTTTCTTCTACACAGCCAGTGATCAGACTCTTTTGTACGACTGTCCAATACTTAACAAAACAAAATATTTTGAAGGCACAATTGGATGTGCTAATACACAATGATTTTTAGTAAGACTGCAGCATGTATTACCCGGTGGTGATGGATCTTCTTGAAATGCTTGTAGATCAAATCATAACACGAGTACATGTTAAAAGCTGGGAGCATCAGGTAGAGCACCACCAGACTTAGCATGTAGGTGATGTAGTCCCTGTTAGAAAAATAACCATGAACAACAACAACAGCTGTAAAAGTCTATGTACCCGTTTTCCATGTGAACTGGCAGGTATGAAAACAGAAAACTATTGTTCATGGTAAGATTATCTTTTAATATTTACCCATTTACCTGTCCCCTTTGGTGTAGTCCAGCGTGCAGCACGTCCTCATGGGCTCAAAGTCATAGACGCCCCATCCCAGTAGAGGAACAGCAGACCAGAAGATGGAGAGAATCCAGATGATGCTGCTGATCGTGATAGATGTGGTCCAGAAAAGCTTCTGTCCTACACAGTGTTCATTTTTTAACAGAAAAATCTGATTTAGTTTTAGTCACAAACTTTTGACGTGAGCACAACTTAGTTTTAGTCTTATTTTGGGAATCGAAATGCTTTTATTTTAAGTTGACTAAATATCACAAGGTTATCGCCGACAAAATATAAAGTCGATTCAGTTGACAAAAACATGAAGAAATATAAAATGTAAACGTTTAAGAGTTGCTCCACATGGTTTACAAAGCGGCTTATAAAGCGGCTTATCCCCTGCCCAACATGAAACAAAAAATGAATAAATAAAAAGTTATACCATTTCCCAGGGGCAGATAAAATATGCATGTTTCAGTTTTTTTTAAGACTGACTTTCTCTGAATATCTCATTTCAATTGTGTATAAAACTGCATTAACTAACATTTTGAACACCTATTTGTAGTGCCTTTACTCACTGGTGCAGTACTGGTGATATCTGTCCCAAGCGATTGCAGCTAAGAAACTGATGGATGCCAGTATGGATATCATCCCCTGGAAACCATGATAGGCACAACCATCTTGACCAAATGGCCAGTATCTGAAGAAGACAAAGAAACATGTGTCATACTACAACTTGCAGAAAAATGCACCTAAAGTTACACAAACTTATATATAAAAACAAAGTGCTTAGGTATAAAGGTATACAGCTCAATAAAATAAAATAAAATAACCAGAAACTCATTGATGTGGAGGCTATTCTGATCACAACCCATCATAATTCATAGGTTGTTGTAATTTGTGAAGCACAAAAAGTTTTTTCGTCATTGAGTTCTCTAATGAGAATTTAAATTGAAAGAAGTCAAAAAGTTTCACAAATAGTCATATACAGGACATATTAATGTAGATCAACACAAAATAAAAGTGTTTAAGTTGAGGAGTGTTATGACTACATGGTCAGCAGTAACCATCGCCATTCAGTAAACGGCATAAATATATGTGACCATATCACTGATGTTAAGACAGTGGTGACAGAAAGGCCCTAACTGGGAGTCAACCAGTAGGATCACTCCCTCCATAATTATGAACAATAACGTCATTATCACCATGTAGGGCACATGTGAGGCAAAGCAAAAAGTCAAGCTATCACCTCATTTGGTATTTCATGCAGTTTTCTTTATCATTTTGTGCACACTAAATTCAAACTGTAAATAAAATCCATAAAGCTTATGTTGTGAAAAGGGAAAAGTCCCAATGTAACACCAAATGTGTCTCTGACCTTGAGCAGAATTTGGGTGAAGCATCAATAGGTTATCGTTGTATGCACGTGTCACTAAAATAGGATCGATTCTCTAGAAGGAGAAGTCTTTGAATTGTGAATGGATGGATGCTTTGCCACATATTAAAAGCAGCAGACAACAAGCATATGAAATATCATATGATGGGTCAGTATACACATCTGTATCATAATAAGTTGTTGTTTTTGTGTTTCATTATGTTCAACTGCACAAACTAAATAAAGTTTAACTTCATTTTATGATAGCTGTGACACTACGAGTGCAGTGGGCTGCTGGGTTCATGAAGGTGTACTTACAAATGATCCCACTTAAACTTAAACAATTGATTCTAAAATTTGAAAAAGTGGTTAGCTTGATAACTGGATTCCAATTAAACACGTGGACATTTTTACAATAAGCAAAAAATGAGAAGAGAAATGCAAAAACCAAGTTGATTTTACTTAAATAAATGTATTAATTAAAACCCCCCACTGTAGTTTGTACAAAAACAACTGTCTTGCGTAACACTTTACATAATAATTTTAAGGAAAAATCAGCTTTCTTAATAGGTCAAGCTGGAAATGTCTCACAACATCAGTGCACATTAAGTTTTATAAACTTTGGGCTGTTTGGTCACTTTCAACATATTTTCTTGCCAAATGTGAACAAAGTAGATTGTGGATTTTATTATGAAACCCCGAGACTTAGTCAGCTTGTGCTGGACAGCTTAATATGAAAACTTCTGCTGAAAGATTCAGATATAAAGTGACTGTAGAAGGCCAGAAAATACATTTCTAACAGAGCATGCCCTGTTTGTTACCTGAGATAGCTTGCATAGGCTGCAGTAAGTCCATTAATATTCAAACTGAGGTCAGCTACAGCAAGGTTGAACACCAGGAAGTTGCTGGGATTGCGCATCTCCCTCACCCTGAGGAAAGAAAGGATGCTGATGGCATTGAGGAAGAATCCCAGCATCCCTAAAAGTGAAAACAAAGAATAAATTACGTTTCTATTATTTGGTTTCACATTTAACCTCTAGCTGTATTTGTCTGCATGGCCGATCTTATTGGTTTTTTGGCCCACAAAGTGTGCAAACAAACAAAATGCAATTTAAGTAGTTTTGGTTTGGAACTTTTAACATCTAACTCATCTCCAAGCATTACCCCCCCCCCCCCCCCCCCCCCAACAAACAAAAACAAGGAATCCCGCTAAAAATACAGCTCTTCCAAATTTATTCATGGTTATCTGGGTCCTTCCTTCTTGTATAACCATACAGCGCGCTTCACTTACCGCCAACAAGGAGTGCTGAACCGAATGTAAACATGTCAAACTCTGTGAATCCCTCCGGTAACGTATATGTTGCCATGATGAAGCACACAAATTAGACTTTGCAAAGAAGACGAGTCGTTTTCCTGCAGCGTAGCCACCCACAGTCTGTGCCACAATAAGGCCTTATAAAGGTGCTTTCACGTGAAAAAGCACGAACGCGCTAATCTTAGCAAAGCCCTCTTTACAATCCCCCGAAGAATGTCCTAACAAGCAGACTTCCTGCACACATTCTGCAAGTGAGTGGTTGCAAACACTTTGCGAGTTTTCTGCGCAATTCTGTCATCTAAAGGCTCTGAAAGTTTATTGCCGAACACTCTGTGGCGAAACCAACCTACAGCTTTGTAAGCGATAAGAGAAAGGAAACATGGGAAATGTTGTCTTTTAACTTAAAAGAGTGTTGGACTCTTAAGCAGACTTTGACCGGCAGTCTGGACAGTTACAACTCTTAAATGCACTTTAGGGCTCACCCCACCGATTGGGGTGGGCATAAGAAGACAAGATGAAGCACAGACTAATGTAATAATGGTGTATAAACACATGGGGAGTGGAGAATAGAGGTGGGCGGATCTATGAAATTTTTGCAAATGAAAAAAAAATATACCTCGAACATGCACTTTTTGTGTTGACCGTCCTGTCTATTTTATTTATAGTAAATAGCATATTCAAATTACAGACGTTGACCCAAAGTGCTTTAGAAAAAGAGACCTTTACATTCCAGGTTTCCAAAAAACTAGTAGAGAAGGTGTCTTTCTCCTGAGTTAAAACTGGGAGCTGGCTCCACAGGAGCCTAAAAGCTGAAGGCTTTCCTCCAATTCTACTTTTAGCTCTTTTCAAAAATCACAAGTGCTCTGTTACGATAACAAGGGAGGTGTTCAAGACCTTGTATCTGAGAAGAAGGATCTTAAATTCAATTCTGGGTTTAACAGGGAGTCACTGTTGAGTTTTGGATTAATTGGAGGCTTTTCAGGCAACTTTGGGAACAACCGTAAGTTACTTAATGTCAAGAGCCAGTACTCACTTTCATGACTACATCAGGCTATCTCTTTTCTTTCTGCTGTAAGAACGAAATGTTTTCCAGACCAGCCTACACATCACTTTCAGGAAGTAGACCTCTTTTACCTTCAGAACTGTTTTATTTCCTTTTGGCATAGATTCAGCACGGTACTGGAAAAAATCCTAAGAGATTGTGGTCCATATTGACAAGATAGCATCATAGTTGTTGCAGATTTATTGGTTGCACGTGTGGGATTACATCCTGTTCCACCACATCCCAAAGGTCTGTGATTGTATTGAGATCTGGTGAGTGTGGAGGCCATTTGGATACTTGCTGTTACGTACTTGCTGTCATGTTCAAGAAGGCAGTTTGCGAGGATTTGAGGATCTGTGACATGGCATGTTGTCATCCCATGTCACAGCTGTCCTAAGTTACCTTTGGCTATTGTGGCTGCTTAAACCTTTTAAAATGTAACATTTGGGTAGAGTCTGATTGCACCACTAAGCTTGCCACAGATTACCACAACCTCATTAACTATGAAGTAATGAATTGTCCCAATGGACTTATAATACCCTTTTCTAAACTGTCCATATTGTCTTTTCTGTAAGCTCTGTGTTCAATCCACACACACAAAAAAGCTATGACATGTGTACTTGTCATCTGCTGGCATCTGCTGCTCTGGAACATTTGGGGCGGTAAAAATGCCAATATTTCACAGATAAATTGACAAGTTGGAGCATCTGAATCACATCGCAGAATATTTGTGTGGTGCCCTCAATCCCAACAAAAGGCCTAGCGAGGTGTTTGTTAGAAACTGGTGGAGCAGTGTGATGCCATTCAGGAACATAAAGCAATGCCAGTTTCTCAATTTCAAAATATTTAATAGCACAATCTGTTAATCTGCTGGGGCTGAGTGTGAAGAAAATAGGATTAAAATATGAGCATTGAAGTAACTAAAGAGCGTTTTGAGGTTGAATAAGTTTTAGTCCAACAGCTGCACTATGACCTGCACTGCCAGACTTAACATAATGCCAGAGATCAGGACTGTAGCTTTCTTTAATTTAACTGTTTAATTAACATCATCTCAGTCAGAGAGAATTCGTCGTGTTTAGCCACACACAAATGAAACTGTGGCATAAAACACAAGGCTACAACTCCCTACAAAGGCTAAACATTGATCCGTTGACAAATAGTTAATTACTGCAGCATAATCTGTTGGTTTTGCAATGAAACAAAGGCTTTATTGTTGAAACTCCATTTGAACAAATGACCAGGAACTGAAAGCATTTTTAAAAATATATTTCCTAATTTAAAACTAGAAGCAGTTAAATGGGATAACTCCCATTTTCTAGACACTGGTCTTTTTCTACCTTTTTCTCATAAACAGCTCAGATGGAAATGCCCCCACCCCAGTGCACATACAGGCGCCAATATACTGTGTTTACATACAGCACCTACTTTAGGTATTGTACTTTCAGGCATGTGAAAAGAAAAGTTTTCACAGGACTCCTGTGAAAAACTAAGAACACCCAGTGAGCAAGAGCTTGTAGAACCACCGTTATAAACAATAATAGTAATAGTTTTCTGTGTGATTTTATGAATCTCTCATGTTATTGTGGAGGAATTTTATCCCACCCCTCTTCAAAACAATGCTTCAGCTCACTGAGGCCTGCAGACATTAATTTCTTCACAGCTTTCTTGAGGTCCTAACACAGCATTTCACTTTGACTGGGCTATTGCAGCATCTTGATTCTTTTCTTTTTCGCTCCTTCTGTTGTAGATTTGCTCGTGTGCTTGGGATCATTGTCCTACTGCATGACCCAATTTCAGCCAAGCTTCAGCTGTCGGACAGATGGCCCCAAATTTGACTGTAGAATACTTTGTATTGCTTGGTAGACAGAGGAGTTCATGAACTGGTCAAGGACAGGATTTCATGAACTGTGCATTTTGGCAAATATCTTTCCTTCCCTGTCCAAAGGATATTGTTTTAGAAGTCTTATTATTTCTTTAGTGTGCAGGCTGCCGTGTTTGACTGTCAGCCCCTTGCTGCTACTTGCCTTCTTAATTCTTTTGTTTTCAAAAAAAATCTATGCATAGAGTCCTGTGAAAGCGATACATGTTTTTTTTTTTCATAATGTAGAGAATTGCTTCTATTTTGACTTAATATTTTTTAAATTAATAATTGTATTTATTTAAAATGTATATTTTTGGTAATTAAAAATGAAAAATGTCATTTTGCATCAGTTTCTTTCATTATTATAACACTTTCCCGTTGATAGATCATTTATTCTTGTAAATAAATCTTAATTGCTATAAAGGCATTATTAAAAGATGCGCCTTACACCCCAATTCAAGATGTGGGGTCATATGGGGAAATGTTATAGGGACAGATGCGGGGTTGGAGGTTTTCCTGTCTGGGACAGCCCTCTTGAAAGAAATGGAACAAAGTTGTATTATCAAGAGACTGAGAGATGACTGGATTAAAGGATTTGAAAACCCTGCCGAGCAGCCATGTCTTTAAACCTCTTTACCTGTGAAAAAAAAAACCCCTCAGACTGTGACAATACATCTGTCATCCACAAAGTATGTCATACTCAGATAGCCTGCATATGATGATGTATGAATGTACATGTGTTAATAGCACAGAAAAAAAAATCACAAAGCATGATGAAATCCAAGTTTTTATTAATGTTCTTTTTGGGGGGAAGTAATTCATGCAGTCTTGCAGAGATTAGAAATTCTCTCCATAAGAAAAACTGTTTTAAAATTGTATTCAAACCCACTGATTACCTGGACGGAGACAAGCAGTGTAAGTGTTTAACAATTGTTTACACTCAGTGACTTCCCACTGCCATCTAGTGGTCGCTCACTGCTACTATTTAACTACAGTCTGTAAATGAAGTTTCTAACAAAAACGACGGTTTGAGGACATTTAAACCTAATCGAGAGGAGTTTTTATCGTCTTGTGTTTCATATCAGAATTTATTCAGTTTGTTTGTTTTTGGTGAAACTTGGTCAATTTACGTGGAGCAGAAAGCCTAGAGACGGATAAAGATGATAAGATAAGAATAACGTTTTAAATGTGTTCAGATATTTCCCCTTTTACTCGAAGAAAAAAAAAGAAGCAAATGCTCACTCAGGTATGGTAGATTTAGCGATTGTAGTTCGTCCACCTGCTACTTCTTTATGTCCTATAATTGCAGGTAGTTGTGACATAACTGTCCATCCAATCATTGCTTGGAAAGTATGTCTAAGAATGAAAGTAAAAACGCGGTAACCTATCAGCTTCCAGGAAGCAATAGCCTAATCGTGTGAATGAAAATAACCCAAGTCCTTCTCTAATCCCTGCCTATCCTTTTTATCTCAGGATTCAGACCAGTCGGAGCAGAGTGGATCTGTGAGCGTGCAAAACACCACGATGCATCCCGCGTCCCGTTAGACCGAGTAGCGGCGCATGCTTTGTAACTGTAGTTTAGTTGCATAGTGTTCAGTAGCTTGCAAAATGAGTCGACATTTTCCTGCAGCTTTTTGTTTGGCTTTAGTTTTTCTTCCTCTGATGAGCAGTCCGTGTCCTGCCCAGTGCAGCTGCTTCTTTCACAAACTAAGCGACGGATCAAAAGCGAGGTAAGCTCTGTGAATTGAATTCAGAGCACAATTGTATTATTATGCTTTGCCATAAAAGTGAGAATATAGCTTTGCTATATTCAGTGACTCCGTGTGCTGGAATTAACTTGGATTTGTTCCTTAATCCCATTTGCGTATAACTCAAAAATAGTCTGCTACGTTTTTTCTTTAATAAACTGAACTTTTTAAACTTATTTTTTTATTTAAAACTAACGTATAAAATATGCTTTCATCTTGAATTTAAAAGTATCTTTAATATTGTTACTGCTACATGTTCTGTAGAGGTAGTCATATTTTTTTATTGTTATTTTCTTGCAGGAGTGTTCTTTGCAATGATCCGGAAATCACTGTGGTTCCTCAAAATTTCCCAACTGACACGGCAAAGCTCCGCGTTGAGAAGACGGCAATCACACGGATTTCTAGCAGCACCTTCCACTACCTCAACAGTCTGGAGTTTCTCTGGATGTCTTTCAATTCCCTGAACTCCCTGACTCCTGACAGTTTCCGGGGTCTTTACAACCTTAATGAGCTCAGGCTGGATGGCAACTCCCTTACCTCCTTCCCCTGGGAGTCTCTGACAGACATGCCAAACCTGAGGCTCCTCGACTTACACAACAACAAGATCTCCAGCATGCCTGCAGAAGCCATCATGTATATACAGAACATAACCTACCTGGACTTGTCTAGCAACAGTCTCACAACCGTTCCTGGTGAAATTCTCACAAT